GAAACAGAGATGAGTACCGCCCCCTAGAGTCGGGAATGACTAGCACATAACTGCAAGGGGAACCTTTACCTTACCTGCCTCTCATTCCGCAATGCCTCCACCATTTTGGTTGCATGTGACTGCCTCAGACTCATTTCCTACCATTAATAAAGGGGATGGGTGTTCGATTCAGCTGGGGCTGCAAGAGTGGGAAGGCCACGTGCTCGGTTTTCTCTTTTACCCCCACCCCCACCTATTTACCTGCCTTGCACCCAATTCCAGAAGGGATCCAACAACCACATTCAGGCTGGCATTTCCGGACTGATGATGTTCTGAGCCCTACCCAGCACATTTCCTGCCTCTGGCGGTGTTGCGAAAACAGACCAGGGAAGTGCGTTGCCAAAGACTGAAATTGGTCATTCCTGCACTTTTCCTTCATGGTGCAAAAAAAAAAAAAAAAGAGAACAGATTTCAACCTGTCTGTTCCTTGCCGTTGCTTTGCTCTGTCGTGGTCTTCTCTGACTCTGCTGCAAAGAGGGAAGAAGGTGGGGGGGAGGCTGACATGTCTGGATTCCGCCTCTCATCAGCCCCAGCTAGGAGAGTTGTCGGGGATGATGAGCACTGCAGTCCAAAGTCATTTTGGAGGCTCCCTTGTGAGATGTTGCTTTCATACAACTGCAGGGCTTCTGTAGGAGATACAGATGTGAGCAGTCAATTGGTCCCAAATAAAGACAGAGGCGGAACATCCTTCTCTCGGTTTTGATCAGCAAATGGTACACTGATTTGAGTGTTCAACTAGAACTGAGAGGAGCTAGTCCTCAGGAAGTTAGGCTTGCTCCGATTCCCCCATCGCAAGTACATCATTTCTCTTTCCCTGTCTCTGCTCCCCTCGCCAATCAATCCCTTTCCGTGGTCCATGAAGGTGGCATCACAGCCAACACCCAGCAAGCCAAACTGCTGGTGATCTTCTACCGCTGCACCATAGAGAGTATTTTAACTTACTGCACCCATGTCTGGTTTGCCAACTGCAAAGTGGCAGATAGGATGGCGTTCCAGAGGGTTAAGGTCATTGCCCAGGGGATCATGGGTTGCCCTCTCCCCTCTTTGGGAGAGCTTGATAGCTCCCGCTGCCTTAAGAAAGTTCAAAACATTCCTAGAGATCCATCTCATCCTTTTTTTGAACTATTACCATCTGGCAGACGGTACAGGACAATAAAGACAAGGACAAATAGGCTGAAAAACAGCTTCTATCCCAAAGCAGTAACTATATTGAATTCTACTGTGTAGTGCAATATTGATGCAATATCAGGGGTTTTCAATTCAATTGTATATAGAATGTGAAGGATGTGTGTTTTTGTTTTATTTTTATAGTTATAATGTACACTGAAGATGGCATTTAATTTCATTGTGCGAGGTGCAATGATAATAAAGTAAACTAACTAATCAAGCAAGTGGAAATGTGGGGGGAAAGGAATATATGGCTAATATTTCTTCTATTCAAGATCTGTGAACTCCGAGGGGGCCCATCAGAGAGAGATCTTCAACTGTTAAAATTGCAGGACTCCGGCTTTAGAATTTTTTTTTTTTAATTTGATTTATATGCCGCCCTTCTCCGGAGACTCAGGGCGGCTTACAATGCGCTCAGCAATAGCCTTCATCCTTTTGTATATTCATACAAAGTCAGCTTATTGCCCCCACAAACTGGGTCCTCAATTTACCTACCTTAGAAAGGATGGAAGGCTGAGTCAACCTTGAGCCTTGGCGAGATTCGAACCTGCAGTAATTGCAGGCAGCTGGTCTTAATAACCAGCTTAATAACAGGGTGCCTTAGACCACTGTACTATCAAGGCTCTTAACATCCCAGGGTATTATGGGCACCTGAAGATAGCACTGAGTTCCAAAAAAAAAAAAAAAAAGCCCCCAATGGCTCAGGTCAGACAGTCCAAAATCAGAATTCATGCTTCTGGATCCAGTTCAGATGCTCAGACGAATAGAATCTTTTTAGGGATCCTAACTCTTTAGAAGGAATCTGTTCAAGCTCTTTATACTGGTTCCTTCTGGAGGGAAAAATATATTTCCTTTGTGGGGCTGGCACGATGACTCGGTGCCAGATGAGCGTATATCCACGCATGAATGAGCTTTCAGACAAAATAAAGGGCACCGCCTCTCAATTTACCCAGCTTTTGGGGAATCCTGTCCAGCCCCCTCTCATTTTTTCCAGTAGCGACGCAAATCTTTCCCTGTTGCTTGAAACCACCCTGGAACAAACGGCGTTTAATGCGGAACACAGAGAACGAAGTCTCTCCTGGGGGAGACGTAAGGCTTGCCCTCTTGAGATGGATGTGGCAGAGCCACCCTAATGCCTTACCGGGATGTCCAAGGATGTGACGTTAAGTGGGGAAAGGTGAATATACCCGTGTTTCCCCGAAAATAAGACCCTGTCTTGTATTTTTTTGAACCCCGAAATAAGCGTTTGGCCTTATTTTCGGGGAGGTCTTATTATTTTGGGATGGGTGGAGGAAACCAGAGGAAATGGCGGGGACCGGGCTGCGCGTGCCTTTAAATATTTTCAGGGAGGGCTTATTTTCAGGCGGGGGCTTATTTTAGGGCATGCGCTCAAAAGCCCGATTAGGCTTTTTATCAGGGGATGTCTTATTTTAGGGCAGGGGTCTGCAACCTTAAGCACTCAAAGAGCCATTTGGACCCGTTTCCCACAGAAAACACCGGGAGTCACAAAACCTGGGTGGGCGTGGCCAACTCGATGTCACTCACTTCCACCAGTCACATGACACACACACCCCCAGCCACGCCTACCCAGCCAGTCATAAGGGCAGAGAACCAGTTGTTAAAAAACACCGGGAACCATAACATCCTTTTGACAATCTCTCTCTCCCCTCCCTCTCTCCCCCTCTCTCTGTATCTCTCTATGTCTCTCTCCCTCTCTCTCTTTATCTCTCTCTCCACCTCTCTCTGTCTCTCTCTCTCCCCCCTCTCTGTCTCTCTGTCTCTCTCCCCCTCTATCTGTCTCTCCCTCTCCCCCCTCTCCCTCTCTCTTTATCTCTCTCCCTCTCTCTCTGTCTCTCTCTCTCTCCCCTCTCTCTGTCTGTCTCTCTCTCCCTCTCTCCCCCCTCTCCCTCTATCTCTCTCTCCACCTCTCTCTGTATCTCTCTCTCCCTCCCCCCTCTCTCTGTATCTCTCTCTCCACCTCTCTCTGTATCTCTCTCTCTACCTCTCTCCGTCTCTCTCTGTCTCTCTCGCCCCTCTCTCCCTCTCTCTCTGTATCTCTCTGTCTCTGCCCTGGCCACTTCTCATCCCCTGCCATCACCCTTACCTTCTCAGGCCAGGCAAGGAGTGACTGGGAGGGGAGGGCGAGGGGTGGGCCCAGCCAGTGGTGGGATCACCTGACAGGGAGCCACAGCAGAGGGCCCAAAGAGCCGCATGTGGCTCCAGAGCCACAGGTTGCTGACCCGTTTTAGGGGAAACAGAGTAGCTGGCAAAACTTGGCACGGGCAGCACAGCTGAGAGAAGGAGGGTGTTTCCCCAAGCAGAGGAACATCTGATTTCCATCATGTGCTACTGGGAAGGTTTCCGTTCTGCTTGCGGTGGCAATTTGTAAACCCTGCATGGATCTGAAGCATCGGTGCCCCCACTCATTCAGTCCAAACCAAGGAGGGGGGGGTACTCTGTTCTCCAAAACCCAGACTAGCATTTTGGGAGCCCAGAGAGAAAAGAGAGCCAATTCTCAGCAGGCCGAACGGGAGATCCAGCGTCGCATCTGGGATGCGTTTGGCCCTTTTTTCGGCTGCCAGAGATCCGTGTCTGCATTTCCAGAAGCAAACCGATGAGTTGGCTTGTTTGTTTCAGCATCCGGAGTAGCTCCCAGAGTAGCTCGCGCCATAATCGGAACCAGAAGCCTCAGCCATTGGAGAGTTTAGAACCAAAAAAAAAAAAAAAGACACGGCAGGGAAAGGAAAGGGGACCAAGGGGGAAAGGGAAAACAAGAGAAACGCAGTAGGTGGATGGGAAGTCTCCATCCACCGTTTCGCTTCTCCTCCAAGAAGCTTCTCCAGCTCTCAGCTCGCAGCTGAAGAAGCTTCTTGGAGGAGAAGCGAAACGTCTTCAAAGAAAAACCAGAAAGTTCAGTTGCCTCGTGAAAAAGCACCTTTGGAATGACTATTGACCTGGATGACTGAGAATCTCCATAGACATCTCCAAAGAAACATCTCCGGTTGTAGGCTAGACTGGAAAGTTTAAAACAAAACAAAACAAAAATGAAATAAAATCTCAGAGCGTGGCAAAAATAGCCACGAAGACACCAGGAAGAAAGCTCAGTTTATTGAGTGACCTTCACCCGGTGGTAAAATGTCCAGTTTTGGTTTATCTCAGTGGGGTTTACACTTTAGAAGTGAGTGATTTTAGGGTTCCACCTGATTTTGAATAGAATAGAATAGAATAGAATAGAATAGAATAGAATAGAATAGAAAATATGGAATGGAATGGAATGGAATGGAATGGAATAAATAGAATAGAATAGAATAGAATAGAATAGAATAGAATAGAATAGAATAGAATAGAATAGAATAGAATAGAACAGAACAGAACAGAACAGAACAGAATAGAATTTTTTATTGGCCAAGTGTGACTGGACACACAAGGAATTTGTCTTTGGTGCATACGCTCTCGATATACATAAAAGATACATTCGTCAAGAATCATAAGGTACAACACTTAATGATAGTCATAGGGAAACAGTCAATATAAATCGTAAGGATACCAGCAACAAAGTTACAGTCATACAGTCATAAGTGGGAGGAGATGGGTGATAGGAACGATGAGGAGATTAATAGTAATGCAGACTTAGTGAATAGTTTGACAGTGTTGAGGGAATTATTTGTTTAGCAGAGTGATGGCGTGAAAGCAGAGTGTACGTCTTGAACCTATTAAGGTCTCCTTCCTCCTGGAGGGAGGACAAGGTATCCTGATCACGTGACATTCCTGGTTCTTTTCCACCTGTTTTCCAGGTCTTCAACCTACCCTTCCTGATCTAGAGGGGGATCTCCTCTTTCTGTTGGACAGCTCCGGCAGCGTCTCCTCCTACGAATTCTCCAGGATCAAGGAGTTCATTGCTGAATTGCTTCTCCCATTTACCTTCGGACCTCACGATGTCCAGACTGGCATTGTCCACATCAGTACCAAGCCCATCCTGGAGTTCCCCTTTGACCGGCATTTCTCCACCGGGGCCATCCAGCATGCCATCCGCAACATCCAGCAGGTGATGGGGGACACCAATACCGGCCAAACCATTTCCTTTGCCAAGGAGAAGCTCTTCACGGCGGAAGCGGGGGCCCGTCCCAACGTCCCCAAAGTGCTGGTGTGGGTGACCGATGGCTTCTCCAAGGACGACGTCGCCCAGCCCATGCAGCTTCTGAAAGACATGGGGGTCACCGTCTTCATTGTCAGCACGGGGAGGGGCAACTACTTGGAGCTTTCGGCTGCTGCCAGCCAACCGCCAGAGAAGCATCTCCACTTTGTCGATGTGGATGACCTGAGCCTCATCACCAAGGAGCTGCAGGATTCCATCGCAGGTATTGGGGTGCAATAGCAATAGCCCTTAGACTTATATACCGCTTCACAGTGTTTTACAGCCTTCTCTACGCGGTTTACAGAGTCAGCCCTATTGCCCCCAACAATCTGGGTCCTCGTTTTACCCACCTCGGAAAGGTGGAAGGCTGAGTCGATCTTGAGCTGTCGAGAATCGAACTGCTGGCAGCTGGCAGTCAGCAAAAGCAGCCCGCAGTAATGCATTCTCTCCTCCTGACCACGGGAAGTTTAAACAGGAGTGCAGAATATTATCATTGGTTTCATCAGCCATCATTAAAATCAATGGTTTTCAGAATACAGAATTGAAAGGGATCTTGATGGTACAGTGGTCTAAGCACCCTGTTATTAACACAGCTGCCTGCAATTACTGCTGGTTCGAATCTCTCCAAGGCTCAAGGTTGACTCAGCCTTCCATCCTTTCTAAGGTAGGTGAAATGAGGACCCAGTTTGTGGGGCCAATAAGCTGACTTTGTATAAAATATACAAAAGTATGAAGGCTATTGCTTAACGCCTTGTAAGCCGCCCTGAGTCTCCGGAGAAGGGCGGCATATAAATCAAAATTAAAAAAAAAAATCCGGGGGGGGAGGGGGGTCTTGTCCAGAAGCACTCCATACCATTCTGGACAAATGGCTGTCCAGTGATGGAGGATCTACAGCTTCTGAAGGCAAGCCCGTCCATTGGTTGACTCTTCTCACTGTCAGGAAATTCCTCCTTAGTTCTAAGTTGCTTCTCTCCTTGATGAGTTTCCACCCGTTGCTTCTTGTCCTGCCCTCGGGTGCTTTGGAGAATAGCTTGACTCCCTCTTCTTTGGGGCAGCCCCTGAGATATTGGAAGACTTCTATCCTGTCTCCCCCAGTCCTTCTTTTCATCAAACTAGACTTTCAGTTGACTGTTCCACAGCCTCAAAAGCAGGGGTAAAATTCAGCAGGTTCTGGAGAACCAGTAGCGGAAATTTTGAGTAGTTCGGAGAACAGGCAAATACCACCTCTAGCTGGCTCCAGAGTGGGGTGGGAATGGAGATTTTGCAGTATCCCTCCCCTGGAGTGGGGTGGGAATGGGGATTTTGCAGTATCCTTCCCCTGGAGTGGGGTGGAAATGGGGATTTTGCAGTATCCTTCCCCTGGAGTGGGGTGGGAATAGGGATTTTGCAGTATCCTTTCCCCAGGAGTGGGGTGGGAATGGAGATTTTGCAATATCCTTCCCCCAGGAGTGGGGAGGGAATAAGGATTTTGCAATATCTTTCCCCTAGAGTGGGGTGGAAATGGGGATTTTGCAGTACCCTTCCCCCAGGAGTGGGAGGGAATGGAGATTTTGCAATAGCCTTCCCCTGCCACGCCCACCAAGCCACACCACGCCCACCAAGCCACGCCCACAGAAGCAGTAGTAAAAAGATTTGAATTCCACCACTGCTCAAAAGCTTCTGTCCGCCTCGTGGCCAGCGCAAATCCCAATGTTGCGTTGGTCATTGACTCGTATTCAGTTTAGAGGCATGAACAAACAAACTCTTTCTCTATGTAGTTGATACAGCCATCTTAAAAGCAAAAACAAAAAAACGATAGTTCTCATCGCATCAGGGAACAGGCCCTCGGGGAGGTTCCTCCCGGATTCTCGGCAAACTTGGATCTGATGCAGCCGAGCCCTCTTCTTCTCTGTCCCGAGGCTGTGGTGGTTTTCCCAACTCCAGCCAGTTCCCGTATGTACATTTTGAAGGACACAAAGCGAACGGAGACTGGAATCTGGGCTCGGGGGCTGGAAGACTTGGCAGCTCAGGAAGAGGCCCAGAAATGGCACTGTAATACCCCATCATATGAGATCTTGTCAAAGGCGCCCTTTGTCGTAGCACAGAAGGGCATTGTTTTTCAGACGGGCTTCAAGACTTTCTCTTGAATTCCTCACATCTGCCAATGGGAGTGCTGGCAGCCTTGGGAGGAACTGAAGAGAGACAACCGCCTGCCCATCCCCTCTGGAATGCAGCATCTCGTTGGGTAGGCTAATAACACTAATGCTTAGGGACCATAAGGTTAGAAAATCGGATGGATGGATGGATGGATGGATGGATGGATGGATGGATGGCGAGAGAAACAGAGGGAGAGAGAGAGACAGAGTAAGAGGGACAGAAAGAGAAACAGACAGACAGACAGAGAGAGACAGAGACATATAGAGAGAGACAGAGAGAGACAGACAAACAGACAGAGACACACAGAGAGACAGAGACACACAGAGAGAGAGAGAGACAGAGAGAGAGACAGAGACAGAGAGCGAGAGACAGAAAGAGAAACAGAGAGAGAGACACACACACACACACAGAGACAGAGACACACAGAGAGAGACAGAGACACAGAGAGACAGAGACACAGAGACAGAGAGAGAGACAGAGAGACAGAGACAGAGAGACAGAGAGAGACAGAGACAGAGAGAGAGACAGCCAGGGGAAAAGGGGAATGAATCAAAGGAATCTAGTCCTCCCAGATCGAGAGACTGACTTAAGCATGGGTCCCTGCCAAAGAGGACCCCCTGAAAGTCCTCCGAAGTTGCGGACGGGGTCTCAAAAGCTCTCCAAGAGTTGGCATTGCCCCCCCCTCTTTCTTTTTGTTCTCTTTTCTATGCCAGGGTGAGTCCCTTCATGCCTGGGTGATCTCACCCTTCTGGCCTGCAGTTGAACATGTTTGCAAACCATTCATTTTCCAGAATCAGCCTGACAACGAAAGCTTGCAAAGAGAGAGGCTGCCTTCCTAAGGGTTTGGGTTTTTTTTTTTTTTGCGCAACTTTTTTTCTGCTCCACCTTCTTCAACCGTCGCTCCCTTTCTATTCTTTTTCTCCTCTCCTTAAAAAATAATTTGGCAAGGCTTCATCCAACGTCTTTAAACGATTCAGACTTCCACTCTTGCAGTTTCTTCCGGCTTGACTTTTTTTTTTCTTTCTTTCTTTCTTTCTCTGTAATTCTGGCTAGGGGACATGGTGGCTCAGGGGCTAAGACACTGAGCTTGTCGATGGAAAGGTCGGCAGTTCAGCGGTTCGAATCCCTAGCGCCGCGTAACGGGGGTGAGCTCCCGTCACTTGTCCCAGCTTCTGCCAACCTAGCAGTTCGAAAGCACGTAAAAAAAAAATGCAAGTAGAAAAATAGGGACCACCTTGGTGGGTGGGAAGGGAACAGCGTTCCGTGCGCCTTTGGCGTTGAGTCATGCCGGCCACATGACCACGGAGGCGTCTTCGGACAGCGCTGGCTCTCCGGCTTTGAAAGGGAGATGAGCACCGCCCCCTAGAGTCAGGAACAACTAGCACATATGTGCGAGGGGAACCTTTACCTTTAATTCTGGCCTAGTGAGATGGGTTTTTTTAGAACTACATCTCTTCAGCGGCTTATTCCTCCATTCCTCTTTGAGCCACGTGCCGTTTGTCTCCAAACAGATGCTTTGCACATTTAGGCTAAAGTTTAATGGTTAATGATGTTGATATGTTTGGCACTTCCAAAACATTTCACAGATGTATATCTTGCGATTCTTTCTCAAGAAAGAACTGAGAAAATGAGTCGATTTCTCCCCATTATTACAGGCTAAGAGAGTGAAGAAGCATTAAGCTCTTCCAGATGTTGTTGAGGTCAGGAAGTCCTCAACTTACGACTGCAACGGAGCCCAGAATTTCCGCTGCTAAGCGAGACAGTTGTTAAGCGATTATTTCCCCCCCCCATTTTATGACCTTTCTTGCCACGGTTGTTAGGTGAATCACTGGCAGTTGTTAAGTGAGTAACATGGTTGATAAGTGAATCTGGCTTCCCCGTTGACTTTGCTCGTCAGAAGGTCGCAAAAGCGTGACCCCCGGGGGACGCTGCGACCGTCATAAAGATGAACCAGTTGCCCAAGCGTCTGAATTTTGATCACGTGACCATAGAGAGAGCTGCAACGGTCGTAAGGGTGAAAAAACGGTCGCGAGTCACTTTTTCCCAGTGCTGTCGTAGCTTTGAGCGGTCACTAAAACGAACTGTTGTAAGCCGAGGATTGCCTGTCTTGCCTTTCGTAGCGTCCGTCTCCTACCCGGCTTCATCCAGCACACCGAATTGGGCTATGCCGATTGTGCTGTGACTGCAGTTTGTTTGAGAGGTGGGAGCCTAACGTGGTATTTTGAAACTTTATACTGTGTAGACCTGCAGAGCAATTCAGGAACCGGCCCTGAGTAAATGTTAAGCCCATGCTGCTTCTTTGGGTGGGAAGCTTACAAATCCAGGGCCTGCGGGATGTGGTTAGAATATCTGGGCTAGGCAAAGGCCCACGAGGATGGGAAAACGCCCGCTTTTCATCCAAAACAAACGGGCAAGGTTATTCGAATTCATCATCAACCCCGAGGCTGTAATTTTTGCATTCAAGGCACGGAGAGGCCTCCCAGCTCACCAAACTGGCTTTGTTGTTTGGACTTCAGTGGCCGCGACGAAATTGGCACTAACTTGCCCGCGGTTAGCTGCCGAAGGTATCGGTGGGAACCAAAAGCAAACGGTTCATTGGCAAGAGGGAAAGTTTCCCCTTCCTTCTCCTTGTGGATGTAAAAACCATTAATTTTGTGGTGTTTCTGTTAAGCCAGAGAATCATTGCATAGCAATTCAGAAAAGCACGTGTGATAGTAAACTGAGAATAAGCGCCTTCAAACGCCACAAGGTATTTTTGTCCTTCCTTCCTTCCTTCCTTCCTTCCTTCCTTCCTTCCTTCCTTCCTTCTTTCTTTTTCTTTCTTCCTTTTTCTTTCCTTTCTCCCTTCCTTTCTTTCCATGGATCTTTCTGAAAGTAGCTTGTTAAATAAAAACAATGCTTCTGTAGCAAACCCTCAAAAGATGCGCTGCCTGCAAACCAAGCAGTTTGAACAAGGCTAAGAGGTTAAACAAGGGATGCAGTGGCTCAGTGGCTAAGACGCTGAGCTTGTCGATCGAAAGGTCGGCAGTTCGGCGGTTCGAATCCCAAGTGCGCGTAACGGGGGTGAGCTCCCGTGACTTGTCCCAACTTCTGCCAACCTAGCAGTTCGAAAGCACGTAAAAAATGCCAGTAGAAAAATAGGGACCACCTTTGGTGGGAAGGGAACAGCGTTCCGTGCGCTTTTGGCGTTGAGACATGCCGGCCACATGACCACGGAGACGTCTTCGGACATTGCTGGCTCTTCAGCTTTGAAACGGAGATGAGCACCGCCCCCTAGAGTCTAGCACATATGTGCGAGGGGAATCTTTACCTTTACGAGGTTAAACAAGAAGGTTTAAGAATCTGGTGGTTATTTTTAAATCCTCGATTTATGGCTGGATTCTCTGTGCGGATACGGATTGCTCTCAGGGGCTTATAAGGAAGTCTAAAGCAAAGACCATGTAAAAATACAAACCAGAAATAGGACATGCCTTCACACATAAATCTAAATACGTAATACAGGACTTACACATTTAACAAGTATTTCCTTGGAGATCTAATTTGGGACTCAAGAGACATTTCAATCCAGTTGATGATGGTAAAACTCTAGCATTTTGTTTAATGTTTACATTTTTTGGGCTAAGAGGGAACTTTGGAAATCTTCCCATCCTTGCAGTCGCTGTCTTTGTTGCCATCTTCTGGCGAAATCAGAGATACACACGTGTTTTCTAAAAGCATCTTCCCACATTTCATATAATGCAAATTACACTACGTCCCATCCCCATTTGTTCTTTTTTCTCACAGCAAGTTCCCAAAGGGTGGAAACTGAAGTTAGCTCTGTTGGCTTGCACGCAAGGGACATACTCTCTCTAAAAGTTATTGGTCCCTCAGACCTCAGAAGGACCAAACAAAAGGAAGCACCAGAGGATACCGAAGAGTGGAGGAATGGAGTGGAGTGGAGTGGAGTGGAGTGGAGTGGAGTGGAGTGGAGTGGAGTGGAGTAGAGTAGAGTAGAGTAGAGTAGAGTAGAGTAGAGTAGAGTAGAGTAGAGTAGAGTAGAATTAGAGTAGAGTAGAATAGAATAGAATAGAATAGAATAGAATAGAATAATTGGAACTGGAAATGAGTAGAGTAGAATAGAATAGAATAGAATAGAATAGAATAGAATAGAATAGAATAGAATAGAATAACAGAGTTGGAAGGGACCTTGGAGATCTTCTAGTCCAACCCCCTGCTTAGGCAGGAAACCCTACACCACTTCAGACAAAGGGTTATCCAATATCTTCTTAAAAATTTCCAGTGTTGGAGCATTCACAACTTCTGGAGGCAAGTCGTTCCACTGATTAATTGTTCTGTCAGGAAATTTAATTAGATTTAAGTAGATCTAATTTGGTCTAGCCTAAGTATGAAAACCTGTTATATTCGATCTGGCATGAACATTATAAACTCTTAAATTTGGTCTTATCAAAAGCAGGATATCATTATGGGTCCACAGCTTCAATCATCTCTCAACCAAAGGGCCTGATTTCATATAACTAAGCCCAGGATTTAAAAAAAAAAAATGTTAAAACTAAGTTTGGCAAATTGTAATAAGAAAATAACTGAGATTGCAACCATCTAAGCTAAGGGTCTCCAACCTTGGCAACTTTTAAGACCCAGTGGACTTCGACTCCCAGAATTTCCCATAATGGCTGGGGAATTCTGGGAGTTGAAGTCCACGTGTCTTAAAGTTGCAAAGTATGGAAACCCTTAATCTAAGCTAATCATGCGGCAGGAACCCAGGCAAAAATTGTCTTTCTTCCCTTCTCTTCCAGCCATCATCCAAGCCAAGCGTTTGAGAGCCACGGATGTCTCCTCAAGCAGCTTCCGTCTCACTTGGCCCCAGCTTCTGACGCAGGACACCGGCTACTACATTTTGGAGTATGCCCCGAGTGGCGAACCCTGGCGGAAAGTGTCCAAAAAACTCACCGGCGACCATACTAGCATTGTGGTGGCACAGCTAGCCTCGCAAACCACCTATGAGGTTGTCCTCATCCCAGAATCCAACGAGAAATTCATCCCGCCGCAAACAACCAGGGTCACCACTCTGGAAGGTAAGGGGGAAAATTTCCCCGTCGAGGGATTAATTTTTAAGAACATACATCCGACTGGAATAACAGGCCCAGTCCCGCCTTGTCACTGTTAATTATGATAGCTCGTTACTGGTGGCGGTCGAGGCATTAATTTCTGGTTATTTTGGCTGGACGTGCCAAGACGTGGGCCTTTCCACAGGCCGCAGCCTAATGTTCAAGTTTCCCAATTGTTAAGGTATCGAGATTTAAGAGCTGACCAACTATAAAGCTGATGTAAGCAATGTAAGGCTGATGCAATGAAGATGAATCAGCATTGGTATTGCCGGTTGTAGACTACGAACGGGTCCACAAGAGTTTTTACCACTTTAAGAGGCGTTTATAAAGGCAGCCAGGAGAGGGCGTATTCTCTCTCCTTGTGTCCGGTATTCATTGCTGAGTTCTCCGTGTAGAGTTAAGAAGAAGTTTGATTGCTTGTCAGGTATTTGCCAGCCACGTATATTTCTGTATATAAACCACTGTTAAGTATCTGTGTGGTGTGTTTTGCTCCTGGATTGTCTCCTTATAGTACTCAAACTGCAAACGCTCTGACAACAATGGAAATTTGGCCAAATGGAAACTTCTTATGGACTTTTGACTGGAAAAAAAGAACTTGTGGGTTCATGGGTTTGACAATTAGAAAGGGTAGCTGATGGAAGAAGGAGGTTCTGATGTAAACTCAAGAGTAAAATATAAATACAGGTAGTCCTCGACTTACGACAGTTCATTTAGCGACCAAACTAACAACGGCACTGAAAAAAGGCGACTTGTGACCGTTTTTCACACTTACAACCTTTACAGCATCCTTACGGTCACACGATCAAACTTCAGATGTTTGGCAGCTGATTCATATTTATGACGGTTGCAGGTTCCTGGGGGCGGGGGCGGGTCACATGATCATCTTTTGCAACTTTCTGACAAGCAAAGTTGATTCACGTAACAAGCGTGCTATTAACTTAACAACCGTGGTGATCCACTTAACAACGATGGCGTGAAAGGTCGTAAAATGGGGCAAAATTCACCTAACAACTCTCTCGCTTAGCAGAGAGAATATTTTGGGCTCAAACGTGGTCGTTAAGTGACATTTATAAGTGCTATCAAAAAGATCAGAAGGCACTTCTCTGTTGTCGTTTTTTCCTTCTTTAGCTTTTCAGTGTTATTTCGTCTACTGTTTCTTTTCTATCATTTGTACTGCTTTTCTCTCGTTAAAAAATGTCTTCGGTAAAAATTGTTGTCACAAAAATACCAACTTTTGCCGATCGCTTTGATCAGGTCCCCTTTTTTTATTTTGTTACATTGCTTCTCTCCGCAGACGTGGTCAGCCCAGCCCAGATTCTTATCTCAGAGTCCAAACCCCACAGTATCCGGGTCAGCTGGTCTCCCATCCTAGAAAGTGTGGCCGCCTATCAAGTCATGTACGGTTCCCTGAACGACAATTTAGTCCAGCTGCAAGAGGTGGACGGGAGGCTCAACACCACTGTCCTGGAAAACCTCCTGGCCAACACCAGCTACTTGGTGACGGTGTCCGCCATTTATAAGTCTGGCAAGGAGAAAGCCCTCTCGGCCAAAGCCTGCACACGGGAAGGTGAGCAGGAAAGAAGGAAGGTGGGAGGGAAGATGTGAGGGTGATTTAAGAGCTGAGCAACTGCTACGATGATGTAATGCTAGGAATGAGTCAGCAAGGTTTTTGGGCTCATATCACTTTAAGGGCCTGTAATAAGAAGAGGCCCTGTTGGGGGCGTATCTCTCTGTATGTGTGTGTGTTTCCATGCTGTAATTGCTGATAGTTTGAGATCTGACTAAAGTACATGTATGTATATATTCTTTGTAGATAAAACCACTACTTAAATACAAACCTCTGTTTACTGTATTTGCTCCTGGGTTGTCTCATATAGTCACACCGTGCGCACTCTAACAGAAGAACTGGGCACACTTAGGATCCCAAACAGCTGCACAATAAGGCTGTCCTCCTTTGATTAGTATTACAACTGCCAACATCCCTCGCCTGACTTTCTCCTAGGTTGCCCACTTGGCTGATACCAACACCAATTGTGATTTTCTTTTCCTCGTTTCGCCCTGGAGAAAGCCCGCGCATCGTCCTCATTTCTTTTTCTTTTCTTTTGTTTTCTCCAATGGACAGAGTACTCCAAAATAAAGCACCTCCATTTTGAAGATCTGAGCCCCAGCTCTGTAAAGGCCTCCTGGGATCCAGCAGAAGGAGACGTGTTGGGTTACCGTGTTCGCTGTCGGCGGCAAGCCGGCCCTTCGACCCTCCTCAGTGTCTCACCACAGATCCACAGCGTTCTGTTGTCAGATCTGACCCCCGGCAGCAATAACAAAGTGTGCGTGAAGCCTGTGTACAGAACCCATCCTGGGAGAGGACTGTGTCGAATGATCCATCAGCAGCCTGGTAAGAGGCGCAGGGACGGAAGTAATTTAGGTTCTGCTGCCTGTTGATTGGCCTTGGTAACTCAATAGGTATCTCTAGGATTGAGGGAGGGTAGACAAAGCAGGCTGAAATGTGAGAGAGGAGGGGTCCTTGCTATTTTTTAAAAATGCACCGCTGTTTCTACATGGTTGCTGAGCCAATTTACATTCCCATTGAATGAAAATTTTTAAGAGATATTCTAACAGAAATATAGTGGAGAGGAAGAAAGGCAATGGTTTGGAGGTCAGGACAATATTTTCCCCTGGATCCAGGGGGTGGGGCTGCTAGGGGTTCGTAAGGGTTCGGGAGAACCTCTAGATAAGATTCTGTGCAGTTCAGAGAACCCCCAAATCCCACTCCTGGCTGGCCCCACCCACCCCGCCCCTCCCAGGAGTCCCCATGCGGCCCGTTTTGGATGCAGGTAAGTGCAGGGTGCGCGCAGAGGCTCGGGGAGGGCAAAAAACGGGACTCCAGAGTCTGGGGAGGCCGTTTTCACCCTCCCGGAGGCTCGAAAAAAGCCTCTGGAGCCCAAGGGCGGCAAAAACGCCCCTCCCCACCATCGTGCAGGAGGCTGACTAGGCCACCCCCATCCAGCAACCGGGAAGAGAACCCTTTGCTTAAAATTTTTGAAACCCACCACTGCCTGGATTCCTAGAATAAGTGCAAAGTGGCCTGAGAAATTTAGTTTTTTTCCCTAAGAAAATCAGGACTTCTGTTTCCAAAGGTCTCCAGTTGCGCCTGGCAGACAATCAAGAACTTCATTTCCAGTTATAAGCAGAAGGAAGAAACATGGCACAAGTTTTTTTTTTTTTTAAATCCCAAATGGAGCCACACAATTTAGCATGCAGAAGATAAAGGAATTCAGATTCAGATGAGGAATTTGCAAGGAACGTGCTCCCCCTGGCGGCTGTCCCAGAAAAATGCCCCGTGAAATACGCTACCGTACTTCTTTTCACTTTATATAGCTCCTTGCAATTGTTATATAACTTTTCTCCAGCTTCAGCCTGTTCTGCAAATAAGAGACTCGGAAGGCAACCTGATTCGTCCATCTGACGATGCTTTTTTTGGTTCTTTCCCTTTGCAGCTTCGGCCGCAGGTGGCTACTACAGGCACCGGCGGAGAGTGTGAGCGTTTGTGGGCGCAACTTTTGTGGGTCAGAAGACAAGGACAGCCTGGGACAATGGTATCAGGACACCAGGATGAAGGAGGTTGCAGTCCCAACCTTTTCAACTTCCGGCTACCTACCCTGTTCCCTTTTGCAACTTAACTTGCCTACAAATGCCCCCCACAATTTGGCTCGGTTACAGAAAACAGCTTCACGGGGATATTTGATGTTGTAAGGAGTCCTCGCTCACTGACTTTCCTTTCCTTTCCTTGGAATACCAGCGAAAGACACAAATCCCGCTTCTTTCGCGTTGTTATTTATTTGCGTTTTGTATGAAATTGGAGGGAGGAGAGAAAGCACACACAAAAAATCACATGCAAGTGAGAACGTTCACCTTCTAATCCGCATTCTGAATTGTAAGAACGTCCTTCTGCTTCAAAAGCTATTGCAGTTCGATTGGGGAGGGGAAGGAATTAGAAGCACAAGGCAGATCCCAAAATGATTCCTTTGTAATTGTTCAAGGTGGCGGCCCAAAAATCTTAGCTGTTGAACACTGCCGTCATCTGAAATTAACACACCTATAATAGACTTCCGAAGACTTCCTTGAGACTGAGGGAGAGCTGAGAGCAAAACCACTGGCCACTGATATTTCCCGTTTTATTTAGGTGCGTTTGCTCTGTCCTTGGAAGGAAATAAATTAAGAGTGTTAGGATGTAAAACTCTTCCCCAGGCTGAGTGTCACGTTAACCTTTGGAGTAGTGGGCCAGGATTCACATTCCAAGAAATAGGTGGATCAGAACAACGGGTTTGGCAATGGCAGGATGCAATATGTGACCGAATAAAATTGAGAGATACGGTTATTCAACAAGTAAACTAGTAGGTCAGTGAACTTGCTTAATCCCAGTCTACTTTGGGCGGCATCAAAAATTACATGTTGGGGGAGAGAGGGGAATGCAACCATTTAGAGAAATAAAGTGGAGCACCCCTGCCATAGATACTAGGAGGCAGAAGAGACAATGACCTGGTAAACAGAGATAAAAGACAGTTATCAAAGGATAGCTAAGATGCTCAGAATAACTTTGGGAACAAGGTAATATATATTGTGCAAACGCAGACAGGGGAGCATTACACGTGGCTGGATCCATCGGTGACTGCCTGAATTGAACTGTGGCCTAGGCAGAAGAAATAATTGTACTTTTCTGGAAATGTGAGAGAGGTGGCAGGGCCGCCTCAAACTGTGACCATCCAGCAAAAATCACGTGTTCGGTTCAGAAGACACAATCTGAAGCACTTTGGCACGCAAAGTGTCGGGCGCTGTGTCGGCCCTTTTGGGAAAAAGTAGTTTGCAAATTACCCTAATCTGACCCGTTTATACAGCACTGCCAGACAATTGGAGTTTAGGGCCTTTTGTTAAGACAGCGAACAAACTTGTTTGAAAAATACAGTATTATCGTGACTCATCCTAGGAGGTAGGCCCCAATAGATTTGCGGAGCACCCAGCTGGAGATGGCGGGCCTCAAATATGCAGCCCGAAAATCTCTACCATAAATCACTGCATCTTAGACAACTAGCTCCTTGAGGTGAAATTCAGCTAGAATTCCGAAATGTTTGTTTTCCATGTGTGTTTGTTTAACCGTTTCATCGTGGGAGCCTCCATCTGCATGAGAATTGAATTAGCCCCACACAACAGTGACATTTCTCAGCCCAAACTACCCCGTTTTCCCGAAAATAAGACCTCCCCTGATAATAAGCCCAATTGGGCTTTTGAGTGCATGTGCTAAAATAAGCCCACCCCCCAAAAAATAAGCCCTTCCTGAAAATATTTAAACGCATATGCAGCCGATCCCCGCCATTTCCTCTGGTTAGGGTTAGGGAGACAGAGCTGGAAATCAGGTAAGATGGCAAGAGGAGCCCCGTCTTGCTCCACGCGCCCCAAAATAATAAGACCTCCCTGAAAATAAGGCCAGGCACTTATTTCAGGGATTTAAAAAAATATAAGGCAGGATCTTATTTTCGGGGAAACATGGTAGTTAACAGAAAGGCAGGTGTTTGTGTGTTTGTTTGTTTGTTTGTTTTTAAAAAAAGAGACGATTGTAATAATGCAAGTAATGTTGTGGCTTGTGGCTATTTTGTAATGAAACCCGAAAGCTTAAGATGGCTTCGTTCCCGTTTCAGAATGCGTAGGACGGTCGTAACTATCTTGCCAGTCGGAAACCACTTCATTTTCTCCATAATTCTTTCATGTACCGTTTTACTAATGCAGTAGCCATTCTCTCCTTGGCTTACTCCAGCAGCGACATTGTCATGTATCCTTTAAAATAAGGTGAATTAAACAGGAGAACAAATGAGGCAAGTAATTTGGAATATTTTTTTCCCCCTCTCTTTTGGATGCGGTCCCACCGAACGCAATGCCGTGGCATTCACGGTTCGTTTTCAAGGAATGAGAGTCGGGAACATTGTGATCTGTTGACACGAGATTTTTTTGGAGAGCAGAAACTGGGGAAAGAAAGAGAGATTTAATTTCCTGCAGGGTACTTGAGGGCACTGAGATCCTGTGTCATGCCAGGAAAGATCAAGCCTACAGAAGTATGTAAACAGCCATGCAGTGGGGGTGGGGGAGGAGTTTAAAAAGGGAGGGAAGAGATTTGTTAATTGACTGGTCAACTCTGTATTTTGAATTAGCTTGCTAGAAAATTGTCACTGTAATGACATCTGTACAGCGAATGTAGAAGATCAGTTAGAAATCTCCAAGTTTGAAAAATAATAATGATAAAAAAGAAATACCATTCCACAGAGAGAGCTAGCAAATAAGAAAGCTTCTACAAACAAAACTGATTGGCGGAAAAAAATATATCCATCCTTGGCCAGTATGGAAATTTCTTGTCAACCGGCAAATCGTTAAGTATGAAACAGGATAAAATGCAAATGTTTCGGAACATATTTACTCAGGACTGTTATCCTATTAGGTTATATGGGATTACCCATAGATAATTAGATAAAAGATTCCATAATTGTGCAAAGACATTTGGGAAAGCTGGTTCAAATAGCTATTTCAAAGGAATCTTCTCTATTAACGCACGCTGCCTTTGTTTTTTCACTCACAAATTCTGATCACAACTGATCAATGAGGATAATTCATCATAGAATAATTTGTGTTAGTAGAGGGATGGTTTTGATTTCCTGGTTGTTATTCCACGTCAGATAGTTTCTGCAGTTAACTCACCAAGGACAATACCAAAACGCTTGTGAGCCAGCCATACAAAGGAGCGCTTCAATAAAAGGTATATATATATATCAAGAACCCTTCTGGCATATCAGTAACTGGTCAGATATCTTCTCTTTGCAAGTCTAAGAATTAAATGAACCTCAAAAAAAAATATTAAAAACTACCACTACATTGAAATACGAAAGCCACCAAGTATAAAAGCATTTAATAAAAAATGGAAAACGTACAGTACATGCTCAGTTTTTTCTTCTAGTGTAATATTTATCTCTTTTTTTTTTTTTGCTTGAGCCAAAGAAGATTTTCTTGAGCAGTAATCAAGTTTTTTTTTAATTCCCAGTGCTCTCCTAATCAAAAAGTTAAAGCGAATGAGAGAAAATCCATAGTGAGTGTCCTTGGCTGAACTAGTTTTGAGACTGAAGGCAATGACAATCAAATTGGGTCTCGAAAAAAGGCACACACACACACATCAAATCTGCACACACCAAGCCAGAAAACAGCCCAAACTGCCTTTAACCCAGAGATGTTTTGCGTAAATTCTCCCCAGTAAACCAGGATATCCAGTTACCTCTTTCTCTAGCAAGGAATCTTTGCTCATTTCATTTCATTTCACTAAAAGAGAACCTGTCCTGTGGCACTTCTCAAAGTTTAAATCAGCTCTGAGTGATTAAGAACAAGGCATAAAAATGACTGGGATGGACACTTGGAATCATACTGCCACCCCACCCCACCACCCAAAAAAACCAAGCCATCATTCACTGGGAATAGAGGAAGGCCCTGCTCATCCTGACCTGCCTTTCTTCTATCTCCTCTGATGTCCAATGTCTCCTTCGGCTCTTTTACCAGTAGACCTTGAGGGAGGTGGGCTTCTGTTCCTGCTGGAACTCTTTCGATGCTCTTGATAGAGCCCCCCTATAATCGAAGACCGACTGTATCTCTGGGCTGCTTCTCAGAAGTTTGTTGTTCTTGTGGGCTTCGTAGTGGAATTGAGAGTCCCTCATTTCGTACCTTCAAAAAACCACAAGGAAAAAGCAGAAAAGAGCTTGATTCAAGCAAGGAGTCTTGTTGGTCCTCAGCTTATAAAATAACATTGCCCACACAACCCCAGGATTAATATGTCCCAAACCTCATGGATCCAGCAAATCTCACCGGATTCCCACGTGGCCCTGCTGAATCTACTTTCAGGACCCAATCCAAAGAATCCACAGCTCCACAGGAGAGCCTATCCTCACCACTTGGGCCTGGGGCCACGGGTTCGTTCCAATTCCTGCTGCCTCTTTAATTCCAACAGCCAGCCTTCCTCCACGCGCAGGCGCTCGAGTCGGAGACGAGCCAGCTCCTTCTGGTACGGAGACATTTCAATCAGGTCTCTCCCCATCGTGCTTTCGGAAAGCGTCTGCAGGAAGCTGAACCCCAAATTTTTAAAAAAGATGGTTAAATGTCTTGCAGTTTCTCCAGGTCAACTAGTCTCTGCGAAACACTGCTCTATGCATAACTTGACTTTGTTGCCTATGGGCTGCACAGGACTACTGTACAAGAAACCACTGTTATTGTCAGTCAGGAGAATGATTTAGGAAAAGGTTTTCTGGACTAATTAAGTTATTTTGCTGTTTGACAAAAAGCTGGGGAAATTTCCTAGAACGAGTCATCCCAAGCTTTCTTGTTAAAAGAGTTTGGGAACTGAAGTGTCAACGTACTACTGTGCCCCCCTGTTATTATTTATTTAAAATGTATTAGCCGCCTAATTCCAGCGGACTCTGGATGGCCTACAAAGCTAAAAGAAAACACACAAACAGCGAGAAACATGAAATGAATGTTACAACAACCAGGCAGCCGACACTAAAACAGTAAAATATTGTAAACCGCCCAGTTACCTGGTGGTAAGATGGGAGGAAAATAAACAAACGAAGTCTAACAAAACCCACAAAAAAAAAAAAAATAGGGGGCATTAAATAATAAGAAACATTAATCCCAGGTCTGGTTCCATCTCTTTGGCTCCTCGAAGTTGGTTCCTTTCTCAGATAATCTCTTGAGTTTAGCTGAGGCTCAACTTGTATTATCATCCCACCCCAGGAAAGGGTTCCTTCAGGGTATGATAATGAAGCTACCATAGACTATGAAGCAAGATGTTCCTCACTAGTTCTCAATTCTGATTATTTAAAACGGTCCCTTTTTAATAATTTAAACAATACAGTCAAAAGACGAACAGGGGTAGATGCAAGCATTTTGTAGTGACTCATCAGTACCTACAAGAACATGGTTGAAAATCAGCCTCAAAGGTAAGATCATCGTGTGCCAAGGGGGGGGGGGAGTCGCGCGTGCCCACACCCACGATCCCCCCACGTTCTGCCCTGCTCCTGGCACGCGATGGCCCAGTAGGCCCGTTTTTCTCTCTCACCAGACTCCTAGAAAGGCTCTGGAGCCTGTGGACAGCAAAAAACAGGCCTTCTCCACCACTACCCCAAAGCCATCCGGAGGCAGGAAACAGCCTGTTTCCCTAATTCTGGTGAGCCCAGAAGGCCCAAAAATCAGCTGGCCAGTGCGTGCATGAGCACCAGAGCTGAGCTCACATGCTCACCAATATGGCTACGTGTGCCACCTGTGGCACGCGTGCCATAGGTTCGTCATCACGGAGCTAGCAAGAGCATGAATTAAGCCTATAACGTATGCCAAAAAAGCAACCAATGACAAGCCTTATGCGCACAGGAGGCACAGATTGACATAAAAACAACCAATGACAAGTCTTACGCCCGCGGGAGGCGTAGATTGACATTAAGCTGCTTCTGCATGCATAAGGGAAGCTTTAAATGGTTAATGGCAACAGCCTCAGAAACGAGAGTTCCTGTGACGTAGCAAAACTTTAAACAGCAGAGTTTGGATCCACCTGGTGGCCTGTAGATGGTAAGTATCTCACAATGGCCGAAGAGGGCATTTAATGGCCATGATTTGCTGTATTATGATAATAATTCTGATTATGTTAAATCAGGAGGCCTAGAAGCCTCTTCCTACCGTTTGTTGATCTCCTCTGCGGTGGGCGAAGAGATATCAGAAGAAGCCAAACTGTAAGGACTCCAAGACTCCCTTGGTGTCCTCTGTCCATCTGCCTTAGTGGAAGTCCAGGATTTCGATGCTAACGTTCCTGGCCTGAAGAACCTCAACCGCGATGGTCTGCTTGATACGCTTTTCTTTCTGACTCCCCTGGGCTTCCCCAGCTGAGGCGGAGGCTGGGCACAGGCATTAGCCTTAGCCGAGGTGGGTCTCCAGATAGGCCTCGGAGACTGAGACCGTGCTTGGAACCAACGTGGACGTTTGGCATCCGGAGAGAAGGAGCAGGAGCGGGTAACCTCCGAGTGACTAAGCGAACGGCCTCTGCGGAATGTGAACGAGGATCTTTCTGGCAAGCAAGCTCGGACTGGAAACTTGGGGGGCAGCAAAGACTTGACGCCAATCACATGAGGGGCCCCGAGTTTCAACGGGACAGAAAGATCCCCCAAGGCGGGAGAGTTCCGACTCACAGTGCCAAAAAACCCTGACGTTTCGTTTGGTGGGGATGAATTTAGGGTTGGAATGGCCAAACCCATCAAATTCAAGTTATCGTCTAGTGATCTCGCAAGATGTTTTGCTTTCAGTAGCCATTCCGTCTCAGTGCGTGACCCTGATGGGTACCATTCGGAACTTAAGGGACTCGGTTCCAGAGCAGAACTGTAATCTTGATCTGGATGGACAGTTAGACCGGAGGCTAAGCTGTCCACCTGAACCTTTAGTTTTCGTAAGCTTTCTTCCAAGTCTTCAATGGTGGAGATCTCTGTCAAAGAGCGAGACGAGAGAAGAGGGGTGGGGGAGGGGGAAATCCATGCGGTCAGAAGATCCAAAACATGAACTGGCCCACAATGAGCATGACCAAATTTCAATCAAAATGACAACCAATTCTTTGCTATCTCACTTTTAAGAAATACACTGTTGGGGCTTGCCAGCGGCCAGCAGAGCTGATGACAGACTCAGACAGTGAGGAGGTTGGGGAGGAACACGGGCCAGTCCTGGAGTCTGGGGAAGGCTCTGATGAGTGCTCTGCGTCAGAGGCAGAGAGGGGGCCAGGGCCGTCTTGACAGTTATCAGCTGCCTTCGGAGTCAAATATCAGTGGGGCAGAAGAACAGCCGGAGCCTGTTCCCAATGTGCGCATGCGCAGAGCTGCCAGGAGAACAGCTAAGAAACAAGGGATGACTCGGAAGTAAAGGCACAGGTGGACGGTCTTGCTGGTTTTGAAGCACTCCCTGCAATTTGGCTCTCTGGACATAAATTGTTTCAACTCCTACCCTCAAAACGACGATATAGAGCACTGCACACCAAAACAACTAGACACAAGGACAGTTTTTTCCCCGAACGCCGTCATTCTGCTAAACAAATAATTCACTCAACACTGTCAAACTATTCACTAAGTCTGCACTACTATTACTATTAGTCTTCTCATTGCTCCTATCACCCATCTCCTCCCACTGCATGACTGTATGACTGTAACTTTGTTGCTTCTATCCTTACGATTTATATTGATATTGTTTCCTAGTAGGATTCGATTGCTTATTTGTATCCTATGACTATCATTAAGTGTTGCACCTTATGATTCTTGACGAATTCTATTCTATTCTTGGGGCTGAGAGACAGCAGGCCTCAAATTTCAAAGTTACTCTGCACGCTCCCTGGAACTACGAGGCTTCGAACCTGGGTCCTTTCCCCCCACCCACCCCAGCACTCTTTACCATTTTCTTCCTCAAGCAGCAATGACTTTCTCTGCTGCTCATCCCAGTGAAGAGCAGGGCGTCTCCCTAGGTTTACAAAATCGATGTTGTGGGTTGTGTTGGGTTTTTGGCTGTTGCCAAGGAGCTCCTTTGAGGCCTCTCTAGAAAAAGAAAGAACAAAATGACATCACTTCAATGCCGGCTGTTAAAACTTAATCCAGTAACCACAACCGCCCCCATATATTTTTTATGAATTGTCCCATTCTGGTCTGGTTTCCCCCCCCCTATTTCTTAGCTCACCCCAAAAGACATAGGTGGGGTTTTCTTTAAAAAAGAAAAAATGCTTGCAAGAAGCAAAGTAGGACCAGAATCTCCTTTTTTCGCTCTCTCTCTCTCACAAAGCTGAGAAAGATCCCGAGTGAAAAAAAATGATTCTCTATTAATGAGTTGGGCGGCCGTATAAATGTGTTTAATAAATAAATAAAAGAAAACCTGAGGTGCCCAGTCCCTCAGTACAACAACTTTGTGAACGTCCCAAGTATTTATACTGAAGCGATTTAGAATTTCATAAATAAAACAAACACGTTAAAATACACCCCTTCATTTATTTTTTAGCTGTTATAGAAGAAGAAATATAAAGGGGGTGGAGGAGGAGGAAATGGTCTCCGGGGGTGGGGTGGGGCTGCACTGTATTATTTGTAATTTTTTCTTCTTTTTATGTATTTAGATGTGTTTGTATATGTTCGTATTGTTTGCATTACTTGCATTTAAAATAAATTAAATTTTAAAAAATACACCCCTTCCTTTCTCAGGCAGGAAGGCGGCCTAGGACTGCAACCTCCATCATCCCCAGCCAGCATGAGCACCGGGGTGAAGGAAATGGGGCTTTGGAATCCAACCCCTTTGTGTCTGTCAGGGACATATCTATCTATCTATCTATCTATCTATCTATCTATCTATCTATCTATCATCTCTATATAAAATAAAGAAGCAGACATTCTGCGAGCTCCGGAACTTAAAATGTTAACCTCGAACTTGTATTTTTAGAATAGTTTGAGATATATATATATATATGTTTTCTGAGGTTTTTGCGGGTGTTTGTATGTAGGTCTTCGGTTATTCGGGTTTTCTCCCGCCTAAAATTGGAGGTGTCTTGGCGACGTTTCGACGAAGTCTCGTCATCTTCAGGCTGGTGTTTTCGGCTTCGTGCTTCTAGGATCACACACATTGCTCCTAGAAGCACGAAGCCGGAAACACCAGCCTGAAGATGAGGAATGAGACTTCGTCGAAACGTCGCCAAAACACTTCCAATTTTACGCGGGAGAAAACCCGAATAACCAAATTTAAAATTCTGTTTACAAACACCCGCAAAAACCTCAGAAAACATATATATATATATATATAAATATACACACAAATACATATATATCCGACAGTCCTATAGTATAGTATATAGTATATAAGGAGTATGTGTATGTATCTGTATATAAATATACATACATATATACACACACACACACACACACACTCCTTCGCCCTCAGGACTTTCCACACCTGAGGGACTACAATTCCCATCTTCCCCAGCCACCAACTCCAACCCTCCCCCGCCCCCCCCCGCCCCCCCAGTAGGGAATCTCCTCAGAAACCTCCACCGGGTGGTCCTCTCCCTTCATTTCCTTCAAAAGCCCCGTTACCTGAGGGAGGTTCCGCGGCCTCGCACTCGCAAAGCCGGCTCCGCCGCCATCCGCGGCCTCCCTGAGGCATCGCCTTCATTTCCTCCACCCCATCAAGCCATCGCCTCAACAATTCCCGTTGCTACGGAGACGGGCCGCCTCCCGCCGGACGACCGAGACTCTACTAAGATTGGGCCTCTGCGCTTACCGTCCCTCCCTCGCCGTTTTCTTTTCTTCCCTTTTTTTTTTTTGCTCCTCTTCACCCCCATTGCCGCCTCTCTCTCTTTCGCGACGATTCTCCTTCAAAGCACGTGACCGAGGTGTGGGGGGGAGGGCGGGGAGAGGAAAAAGGGGAGGAGGTTCTTTCCTGGCTCCCAAGCCTTTGCGACTCTATGGCTCCCTGCTTCCGAGCTTTGCCCGCCAATGAGCAGCGTCGGAGAACGGAAAAGGCGGGGCGGCGCCTGCGCAGAGCCGGCGGCGCGGAGTCCACGTGTGTGTTGGAGAGGGGGGTATTCGCTGCTTGCCGGTTGGGGGGGAGTGGATCATGTCTTGGCTCTTCGGGCTGAACCGCGGCGGCGGCGGCGGCGGCGACGCGGGTCCTGGAGCCGGGCTACCCTCGCTGCCTCCTCCTCCTCCTCCCGGCGGGGGATCGAAAGAAGGGACGGGCGAAGGGAGCCGCCCCAAGGACAAATGGAGCAACTTCGACCCCACCGGCCTGGAGCGCGCTGCCAAGGCCGCCCGAGAGCTCGACGCTTCCCGTGAGTCGGGTGGATCCCCTCTGGGTGGATCTCTTCCCTGGATCCCCTGCTTGGGGAGAGGGAGGGCTCACTGGGATCCCTTGCCTCAGGATCAATAGGGATCCTTCTTTGGCCAGGCACTCCCTCCTGGATCTAGTCCCCGGGGATCTAGTGGATCTAGCAGAACGAGGGGGAAAAAGCTCAGTGGATCTTTCGTGGCTGGTTGAATGAATGAATGAAAATGAATGAATGGAGATCGCAGCTAGTCCTCGACTTACGACCACAACAGATTATTTTATTATTATTATTATTATTTGTGATGAATATATATTTTGATGATGACTGTGATCATGATTTATCGTTTATAGCTTTTATGTACACTGAGAGCTTATGCACCGAAGACAAATTCCTTGTTTGTCCAATCACACTTGGCCAATAAGGAATTCTATTCTAGTCTTATCTCAATGCTGGACAGAACCAGATCGCACAATTCACCACAATGCCGAATCTGCATACAAACACCCCTTGTCTCAAACAGCATTTCTGCAGCCTTGCTTCCAGCCACCCAAGGCGGATTACACTTTAGAGCACCAGCGGCAATGCCCTTTGACCTTCTAGCTCCCATGTGATTTTCTTCCGAAGCTTCTATTGTGTCTTTTGTCCCTGAAAGCAAAGCCAGGAAGGACTGACCAAAAAAAAGCATTTTAAACTCAATGTATTTTTAAGAGCGGCCAAAATTTAAACCACGAAAGAGCATCCTTTTGAGTTGGTTTTTGAAAACAATAGTTTTATTATTTCTCTTCCTTCTGGCAATGCACAAGCCAGAATCTCTGGTTCGGACAACATTTGTGTTATTTCCAGCAGGGCTTATCTCCATGTAGTTTAACCATTGGGCAATCAAAATTGCAATGAATTATCATGGGCAAAATCACTGTTAGGTGGGGAGGAATTTTTTTTTTAATTTATTTTTTTGAATGATGGAAAACAACTGATATTTTCTTTTCAGGACATGCCAAAGAGGCGCTAGGCTTAGCTCAGCTACAGGAACAGACACTACAGCTGGAACAGCAGTCTAAATTAAAGGTGAGTAAAACATAGCAATTCAGGTTGTGCTGTTAATAGATTCCCACACTTGCTTGATCATTCCTCATATTTGATGTTGAGACTCTAGAAAGAGTGCAGAGAAGAGCAGCAATGATGATTAGGGGCCTGAAAGTTAAAACATATGAAGAACGATTGCAGGAATTGGGTATGTCTAGTTGAATGAAAAGAAGGACTGGGGTGACAGGATAGCAGTCTTCCAATATTTGAGGGGCTGCCACAAAGAGGAAGGGGTCAACCTATTCTCCAAAGCACCTGAAGGCAGGACAAGAAGCAACGGGTGGAAACTAATCAAGGAGAGAAGCAACTTAGAACTAAGGAAGAATTTCCGGACAGAACAATTAATACGTGGAACAACTTGCCTCCAGAAGTTGTGAATGCTCCAACACTGGAAGTTCTTAAGAAGATGTTGGATGGCCATTTGTCTGAAGTGGTGTCGGGTTTCCTGCCTAAGCAGGCCCCTGAGATATTGGAGCACTGCTATCATGTCTCCCCTAGTCCTTCTTTTCATTAAACTAGACATACCCAGTTCCTGCAACCGTTCTTCATATGTTTTAGCCTCCCGTCCTCTAATCATCTTTGTGACTTTTCTGCGCTCTTTCCAGAGTCTCAACATCTTTTTTACATCGTGGCGACCAAAACTGGACGCAATATTTTAAGTGTATCCTTACCACACTTGGAATACTGCAGATTAGAGTGAGGCGTTTTGTTTTTGTTTTTAAGGTGGGGAACTTAACAGGATTTCTTGTATGAAAAAGCTGGAGATGAGTCGGTCCCGTGGGTTGGTTCTATCATTCTTCCTATTTTTTCTCCTTGTCCTTAGGAATATGAAGCTGCCGTAGAACAATTGAAGAATGAACAGGTCCGGATACAAGCAGACGAGAGGAGGAAAACCCTTAATGAAGAGACAAGGCAACAACAAGCGGTAAAATGCTACCTTAACAACCGTGTTCCTAATTTAACAACTGCACCGACTCGCTTAGCAAATGTGGCACGGAAAAATCGTAAAACGGGACAAGGCAATATAAATTTTGGGCTCGATTGTCATGAGCTGAGGACTGCCTATATGAGGGAAATAGATTGTTTCAATATTAAATTCAGCTCGAGTGAAGTTACAGTCTTCCCTGTCCTAAGAGTTTTAACTCTCAAGACCCCTGTCCCTCTTTCCTTTTAAATAGCACTCAATGCTTAACGCATTGTAAGCCGCCCTGAGTCTCCGGAGAAGGGCGGCATATAAATCAAATTAAAAAAAAAAAAAAATTTCCCCTATGTCTGTTTTTTATCTTAAAGAGAGCCCAGTACCAGGACAAATTAGCTCGGCAACGTTACGAGGACCAGTTACGACAGCAGGTTGGTCCTATTTCTTTCTTAAATGTGGGGAGGGAAGGTTGGGATCAAAGGAGGGGAACCATCTACAGCCCGGTACATCCGTGGGGTGGTTAAAAAAAGATTTACCGTGCTTTTCGGAGTATAAGACACACTTTTTCCTCCCCGAAAAGAGGGTGGAATTGTTGGTGCATCTTATACACCGAATACAGCCATTTTTGGCCTCCCGAAACCCCGCCCCGCACATCCCATTTTCACCAAAAAAAACAGGCCGTTTTTCGCAAAAACTCGGGGTGCGCAGAGGGTTTGGGAGGCCTGCAGAGTGCTCCTGGGAGATGGTGGAGAGCAAAAACGTGACACGTGGGGTTGGGAGCAGTGGTGGGATTCAAAATTTTTTTACTACCGGTTCTGTGGGTTGGGCTTGGTGGGCGTGGCAGGGGAAGGTTACTGGAAAATCCCTATTTCCTCCCGATCAGCTGGGACTCGGGAGGCAGAGAATAGATGGGGGCAGGGCCAGTCAGAATTTTTACTACCAGTTCTCCAAACTACTCAAAATTTCCATTACTGGTTCTCCAGAACTGGTCAGAACCTGCTGAAACCCACTTCTGGTTGGGAGGCCAAAAACGGGACACGCAGACAGTTTGGGAGGCCTGCAGAGTGCTCCTGGGGCCTGGGGAGGGCAAAAATATTTTTTTTTTCTTGTTTACCTCTTCAAAATCTTGGTGCATCTTATAGTCTGAAAAATATGATAATAAATAGAAATGCTGCTCACACAGATCCTTCATCTGGGTTCGTTAAAAACCCTTTGTGAGCAAAGGGAGGTGATGGCCTGCGGTGTAAACAAAGTGTGTGTGTGTGGGGGTAATATACCCAGTAGCTGAACATTAGAAAATACCTTGCTGGCTGCTGTTTTTAAGGGGAAGAGAAAATCAAGGGGCAAGTTCTTTTAAGCTCAGCAGCTTTCCCAGTTGTCAGCAGACTGAACTCTGTTTTTCTCCCTCAGCAACTCCTTAACGAAGAGAATTTAAGGAAGCAAGAAGAATCGGTCCAGAAGCAGGAAGCCATGAGGAGAGGTAGGGGATGATGGCAAAGGGGAAGATTTGGGGGTTTCGGACCTACCAGATTTGGGGGCTTCGGGCCTTTAGAGTCGAGATGCAAAAGCTAAGGGGAAGGGAGACTGGAAAAATATTAAAGAACAGGAAAGGTTAGAAGAAAATAACCCGGAAATTAGAATAGAAGAGAATAGAAAATAGAATAGAACAGAACAGAACAGGGGTGGCCAAATGTGGCCCTTTTACAACCTGTGGACTTCAACTCCCAGAATTCTTGAGACAGCCAAGCTGTCAATACAATACAATACAATACAATACAATACAATACAATACAATACAATACAATACAATACAATACAATACAATACAATACAATACAATACAATACAATGAATTAGAAATAGAATAGAATAGAATAGAATAGAATAGAATAGAATAGAATAGAATATTGGAATGAATGGAACAGAACAGAATAGAATTCTTTATTGGCCAAGTATGACTGGACACACAAGGAATTTGTCTTAGGTGTATATGCTCTCAGGGTCCATAAGGAGAATAAAATACATTCATCGAGAATAATTTTTTTTGGGGGGGAGTTTCAAGATAATCCTATTCCACTGCTGGAATGGCCTGGGAAGAGCCCAGACCTTCACCCAGTTGAAAATCTATGGATTTTCCGATTAAAGAAACTTGTTAGTCAGAAGTGATCCAGCAATTTTTGTATATCTCGTTTTTTCTACATGTTTCGCTTTTCTTCTTTATACTGTCACTGCTATTCTAATAGCAAATCCTTCATAAAAGTTATGGCATTACATTCTTGATTAAATGATCTTTCCATCGATATATAATTTTATGGTACTACTCCAAAAAAAAAAAAAAGTGGTGTTATTAGCCAAGTTTTAGAAAATACGCTTTTCCCAAAAGGT